AGTTGCCTCTTGAAAAAGCCCCTTTGAGACAACCATGACCTGGATGATGAGTATCTCCATAGACACCATTAGGAAATTTCTCCTTAGCTCTCGAGTGCATTCTTCTCTCCTTGGTTAGTTTCCATCCATTATTTCTTGTCCTGCCTTTTGGTGCTTTGGAAAATAGTTTGGCCCCTTAAATATTGGAACACTTGGACACATTGGACATTATCATGTCACTCCAGTCCTTCTTTTCACTAGACTAGCCATACCCAATTCCTGCAAGCAACCGTTCTTCGTATGTTTGAGCCTCCAGCCTCCTAATCATCCTTGTTGCATTTTTCTGCAGTCTTTCCAGAGACTCGACATCTTTTCTATAATACGGTGATCATGCAGTATTCCAAGTGTGTCTGACTCAGACTTCATCTGAAGTGCCTCCTGGATCAAGACTAAATCCACCTGTCTCACCATTTTTTTACAAGAAGCCCAGAATTCAAGAAGGGTGAAGGAGCCCATCATAAACTTAATCCTTGATCCTCCACTGAAGTGCCCCGTGTTGCTTAGCCTCTTAAAAACTGTCATCTTCCTTGGAAGCAGAAATGTTTCTCCAAATACTGTAGCTTAATTAGTGATTTAGAGTATTTGATGGTTGCTGAGAAGAGGTTAATTGTTGTTAACCCTCACTTTTTTTCCCTGGCTTCTCATTACTCAGTTGTCAGCCCAGCCATTAAAAGGAGCATCTGGAACACTAATGAATTGGAGGCAAGGTTGCTCTTTGGACTGAAGGCTCTGTAGAGTTTGAAGCAATTAACTTTGCCAAATCCGTTGCCCCAAGAATCGCCCCTCAGCAGTTTGAGAAGGTGAAATTCCATCAGAGCTCCGTCTCTCCGAGGTTGGAGGGCTTGCTACCCTGATTTATGTCGGCCCAGACTCGTTGACAAGAAAGCCCTGGGATTCAATCCCATCACTTCGGTTGCCTCTTCGTCTTCAAGCTAATCCCACTTCAGAATCTCATTTTCTCATAAAGCCTTAGAGGGCTGTGGCAGTGGTGGCATTCTACCGGTTTGGCCTGCTTCTGCCGAGCCAGTAGTGCCGGTGAGCAGCCGAGACCAAACTGGTTCTTTCCACCCCTCTGCTGTTGGGCCCACCCGCCCACCTGAGCTACCACACTCACCTTTATGCTCTGAATTTGAAGCGCAGCTGCTTTGCACGGCACGGAAGAGGGCCGTGCAGCAGCTGCTGAAGCGACAGGGAGAGGGCAGGCTTGCAGGAGGTGAGCCAGAAAGCCTCTGTGTCTGCGCAAAGTGCACATTTGGCGCATGCGTGTGCTCAAAGTGTGTGCGCGCATGCATAGCATGCCCACCAAGCCACGCCCACCGAACCAGTGGTAAAAATATTTGAATCGCACCACTGAGCTGCAGCCTGTTTTGCCACATGGTAGCGGGTAGGTTTCTGCCCTCCCTTCTGCTATGCATTGCAAGAACCAGGTGAGGCAGAATTTTCCCCACAAAGGAAGCCTTGAATTGGGGGAGGGGGGATAATCTATGTAGCCCCTTCAGGAGTGGGAGTGTTGCAGACATGCAACTTCCAGCCTCCTTTCTGGACCTTCGGCTCTACAAGGAACATCCTAGCACAGGGGTCAGCAACCCGTGGCTCTGGAGCCGCATGTGGCTCTTTCATCCCTCTGCTGTGGCTCCCTGTTGCTCAAAATATGTGCCACAACCACCAATATGCGTGACACCCGCCGGCACGTGATTTATTGAGTCAAATTACTCCCAGTAGGCCAACCATGGGTAAATCCAAGAAAAGAAAAGTTTCAGAAGAAAACAGAACATTTAATTCAACTATATATGCTAGTATTGTGGCTGCTCAGGAAATAGTCAGGCATGGGAAGGTTTTTGTGGCTCCCGGTGTTTTCTTTTCTGTGGGAAACGGGTTCCAATGGCTCTTTGAGGGTTTAAGGTTGCTGAGCCTGTCTTAGCGGGTGAAGGATTCCACTCCACTCTCCTTCATACCGGCTTCCTTAGGTTCCCAGAACAGAGAAGCTGTTGGCTGGCTGGTTGGGACAGACAGACAGACGTCCTAGTCCAAAGCCTCCGATGTTGGCCTCCGCCTGCTCTCGGGTTGCTTTGCTCAATCAGCCCGCCCCTTTCCATGAATCCACCTCACAGTCTCTTTCGATAGGTTGCATCCCTGTGAAGGAGCATCTTCCTTAAACAAGCAGAATGATAGAATAACCAAAGGGAAGGGATTGTCGGGCCCCATAGATTCCTATAGGGATGCTGTCTTTCTGGTGGGAAGGGGGAGGCTTGGGGGGTCTCTGTATGGCAGGGGTCCCCAAATTTGGCAACTTTAAGTCTTGTGGACTTCAACTTCCTGGGAGTTGAAGTCCACAAGTCTTACAGTTGTCAAGTTTGGAGACCTCTGCTGTATGGGGTTTCTCTTTCTCTTTCTTGCTTTGCTTTGCTTTAATTTTTGGGATTAAAATCTTGGGAGAGGGAAAGGAATGTGCCTTGAGCCAGCCGCTTTATCTCGTCTCTGGAGGAGAGCAGCGGCGTTGCCTTGGAGACCGGAGTTTATCACCTTCTCAGCCTGTGTTCCCCATAACATCTTCACACCTCCCGTTTGGCTGGATGATGAACTGGACTTTGGGAGGGGCCCTGTCTGCAAAGGTTTCATCTAATATTTTGAGCGGGAAAACTTAGTTCCTGCCTACATCTCTTGCTATCACAATCCTCCAGTAAAAGCTTCCTTTTGAAATGGCTTTTGTTTCAAGAGTTCTGCTTCTTGGGAAGGCCGTCGAGGCAGGATCTTACGAGGATCTTGGAGGTCTTCTAACCCAACCCCCTACTCAAGCAGGAGACCCCAGACCCATGATGGTGAACCTATGGCACGGGTTCCAGAAGCGGCATGCAGAGCCATCTCTGTGGGCAAGAGAGCTGTCGCCCCAGCTCAGTTCCACTGTGCATGCATGCACACCTCCCGCCAGCCAGCTGATTTTCGGGTATCTGCCATGCATGCGTGGGGGGTGGAGCGCATGCGAGAGATGTGTGCGCGTGTGCAGGGGGGCGTGGGAACACGAGGGGTCATGCCTGCATTGCATTATGGGTGCAGGCATGCATGCATGCTCTCGTGTGTACACACACACACACTTTCATCATGCAGCACACCCGCACTTTCAGCCCTGCCCTAGACCATTCTGGAGAAATGGCTATCCACCCTCTTGCAGTGGAGTTTCTGCTGTGGGCTCAAGCAGGGTGCTGGCACGATCCATTTGATAGGAACTGGAGCCGGGGTCCTCAAACTTGGCAACTTTAAGACTTGTGGACTTCAACTCCCAGAAATCCTCAGCCAGTTGAAGTCCACAAGTTGCCAAGTTTGGAGACCTCTGAACAAGAGCGAAACCTTGATGGACCTTGTCCTGAAGATACCTTTGCTAACCATCACCTACCCTGACCATCCACTTCTCAGAAGGCATTGAGGTGGCCCCACCTTGGCTGGCTCCCTTGCCTCTTGTTGCTTCTTTTTATCAGGTCATATAAAATCTGACTGTACGAAGAAATGAGCAGGATGTCTTTCTGGGCTCATGTGCACCAGATATTGGACTAAAACATGGGAGATGGGAATTGTAGTCCAACGCATTTGGAAGGCAGCAGATTGGGGAAAGATGGATAGTCTGGTGCCTGTTGGGTCAGAGGACCTCAGCCCACATCACCGTCTGTGTTAAGGAAGTGCTCAGTGAAGTGATGGATGTGAGATTTTTGCCTTTCACCTCCCCAGTAGACAATCTGCCTGGTAGAAAAGTTAGATTCTTCAAGGTTAAAAGCTGGTCAATGACTGAAATAAAGAGGCTTGACTTAAGTGTTGTAAATAGGCACTAAATGATTCTTCCACTGGTATTTTGCTTTTTAGAGGAATGAAATCTGGATGGTGTTGAAATAATAGACAAGTTGAGGCTCTGGGGTGCAGCAGTGTCTTTGCTCCCCTTTACAGAAGGGGGTCTCCCAGATGGCCCTCGAGCCGAGTTGATGGAGCTCAGGTGAAAACAGGCGTGGAGTCCCACTAACTGGTCACAAGCAGGGTGCGGTTGCTGCTTCCTGACAGAAGTCTTGAGTGAAGGCTGGGGGGGGGGGGGGGGGGGGGGGGTTGGTTTCAACCCCTCCCTCCCTGGAGTTTTTCTTTTTTCTTTTTAGAGAGAAGCTTTTCTGTGAGGTTGTATCAGGATCCTGGGAAGCATCTCTGCCACTTGCAGAGAAAGTGCCTGGAATGATGAAAATCACCATCTCCTTTCAGTGACCCCCATAATCCACTGTGGGCTGGAGTCTAGGCAACTGAATGAGTGTTGAATGGCCGGATGCCCTTCCTGTCATCAATGCAGAGTTATATTTAGCAGTTCTATTCTCAGTGTGCCCCAGAGAGAGAAATATCTGCCTCCACCTAGAATTGAACTCACAGCCTGGTGATGGTGAGGGAAGAGCTCCACCTCTAGGTCACCTTGAACATTGAAAATGCAAGGTAGATAATTGTGAAGATCAGGACTTTCATTATTCCCCCAGCATTTTTTCCAGGGCAAAAGGGGTTTCCTCCACATTTTAAAGATGTTTTCCAGTGTATGTCAAACCATGTTTTGGGGCTCAGTCACCGATAACACTGGAATGGCTTTATGGGGGTGCCTTTTCAACCCCCCTCCCCAGGCCTCCTTTGCTGGCCACAGTTCCTGGGGCAAGGGGTGCTTTTCCTTCTGGGGCCAGTCAGGGAGATTCCAGCCACTCTGGACTGAAGCCCGGCAAGAGGAGATGGCACCCACGCAAAGGTCACTTTCCTTCTTCAGGAAAAGTAAATGAAAAACCATCTATTTTGTACCCAATCGAATGAGAGCGATTGAGAAAGTGCAGCTGGGGTTTCCAGCATGAATAGCAACCACGATAGTAATGTTGCATGCTAGCAGGCAGTTACTTGTAGAGCTGGCAGACTCTGCTGAGGGGGACTTCACCTCACCTGACTGTTCTCTCTCCCTCCAGGACCCTCGGAGCAAACACAAGTTCAAAATCCACACCTATTCCAGCCCAACCTTCTGCGATCACTGCGGCTCTTTGTTGTACGGACTTATCCACCAGGGGATGAAATGCGACAGTAAGTCCCAGCCAGCGAGCTCCGGTCCCAGGGAAACACCCGGCTCCATTCACCTGTCCTCGCACGGGTCCTTGGGAGCCTATCCGAGCAGGTGGGAGAGAGGGAAGAGAGGGGGGGGGTCCTTGCGTGGGGGAGCTGTGGACCTGGCCAGCTGCAGCTCTGACTGCATCCTGAGAAAAGGATAAATGAGCCGAAAACCAAGCTGCCTCAGAGGAAACAGGTCTGGGGAGGGGTGAATGCAACGAAGCCCCCGCCAGTCTTGTCTCTCTCTCTCTACCGGTTGCTGGTGGGGAGTCCGTGTGCAGGGCAACGTCTGTGTGAGGGGGTTCTTTCCAGCAGTGTTCCACTACCAGTTTGGTGATCGCACGCGCGTGCGCACCTAACAAGCAGGCGCAGCTTTGCACACCCCAGCTGAGGCCTGTGGCGCCAATTGGCTGAGGGGATCAAGAAGAGAAAAGCGCCAGGCTGGGTGGGGGGGCCAATCCTGCGCTTCCCTCTCCTTTCTCCTGGCAGCCGATCGATTGGAGGAGGCCTTTCTTTTTACTACTGATTCGGGGGAACCGGTAGCAGCCCCCCACTGGTCCTTTCCCAATCCCATGTCTGTGGAGAGTCTCAGTCATCCAGGCCCACTTGGTTTCCCCCACTTTTCTTGGTGTTTCCCCCCCCCCCCTCTGAGATGTTTTGCTTCTGCATCCTAGAAGTTTCTTCCGTTCTCTGAAGAAGCTCCTTGGAGGAGAAGTGAAGTGTTTTCCAAGAAAAAATAACCCGAGAAAGTCAGTTGCCTTTTGGAAAAAGCACCCCTGGGTTCACCCCTCCACCCCCGCTATTCCTTTGTGCAGATATGGGGCTGGTGTGTGTCAGCCTTCTCCTTCCTGCACCGAATGCGCAGAGCAAAGGCGCATCAGGTGTCGTGGGTAACCTCCAGAGCCCCCCCTGCCCTGCCCTAACTCCTCTCCCCTTGGAATGCTTGGTTATCATGCCACGCACAAGCCCCCAACCCGGCTGCGCACGGCTGGCTACTCCCTGATTGGTACAGGGGCGCAACCATCCGTGGGGGTCAGAATTGGACCGTCAAGGGTAAGAGGTGCCTTCGGCCTGGCAGCCTCAGGGCTCCTTCCAAAGACTTGGGGAAGAAAGCCTGCAGCGGCGTCATCCCTGCGTGGTGATAGAAACCCTGGACACCAGTCACGGCCAGAAGGTCTCGGGGGCTCAGATTTCCTCCCACTGGAATTGCTACCTGAGGGAATGCCAGGCTTCTGGGGGGTGGCAAAGCATCTCCCTCCCCATAGAGCCACAGACTGTCTCACTGTCACAGACTGAGCCCTGTCACTGACTAAGCTGCAGCAGCCCTCTTGAAGAGCACTGGGCAACAGGTAAACATGACCACCTGTTGAGTTTCTCATAATTTCTTTAGAGGAGAGGGTAGGAGAGGAACTCATCAGATTGGCAGGTAACACCAAGCTAGGGGGAATAGCCAGCAGTTTAAAAGATTTAGAAGGATCTTGTCAGACTGGAATAGGGGGCCCTATCCATGCAAAAAGGCAGTTTAGCGGTGAGAAAAGGTAAGGTTTCCCACGTAGGCAAGAAAAACCAAATGCACAGGTACAGAATAGGTGGCACCCTGGCTCAACAGTTGGCCTGTGAGAGAGAGATCTAGGACAGTGTGGGATTCCATTTTTTTTAGTACGGGTTCTGTGGGCGTGGCTTGGTGGGCGTGGCAGGGGAAGGATATACTGCAAAATCTCCAGTCAGAGGTGGGATTGGCCAGTTCTCCGAACTACTCAACATTTCCACCACCGGTTCTCCAGAACTGGTCAGAACCTGCTGAATACCCACCTCTGATCTAGGCGTGTTAGTGGACACCCACTGTGGGATGAGCCAGCCGTGTGCTGCAGCTGCCAAAAAGCCAATGCAGTCCTAGACTGTACCATCAGAGGGATAGTACCCAGATCAGGTGAGGTGTTAGTACCACTTTATATTGTACTGGTGAGACTGTACCAGTTCTGGTCACCGTTATACAAAAAGGATGCCGAGGCTCTGGAAAGAGTGCAGAGAAGAGCAACAAAGATGATTAGGGGGCTGGAGGCTAAAACGTATGAAGAACGGTTGCGAGAACTGGGTATGTCTAAGCTTAAAAAGAGAAGTACTAGGGGTGGCATAAGTCTTCCAACATTTGAAGAGCTGTCATACAGAAGTCGGGTATCCCCCATAGCACCTAAGAGCAGGAGAAGAAGTAATGGGTGGAGGACCATCAAACAGACACCCAGTCCTGCAACTGAGGAGGCCCGTGAGAACAATTAACCCCTGGAATGGCCTGCCTCCCAAGTGGCGGGTGCTCCATCGCTGGAGGTCTTCAAGAAAAGATTGAGCAGCCATTTGAGCGGGATGGTACAAAGGCTCCTGCCTTGGGCAGAGGTTGGACTAGAAGACCTCCAAGGTCCCTTCTAGGATTCTCTGATTCTAAGTTGAAAACTCCCAATTGCAGAAAAGATGGGCTATAGCAGTCACAAAATATGAGCTTAGGGAGCCCCCTAGTGCCCACTTTATGAATTGCAGCCACCTACCTTGGTGCACGGAGATGCCAGAGACCAAGGAAGGAATAAAAAGTTTCCCTCTGGTATTTGGATCCTAAGCAGGCAGGATGCACCAGAAGGGCCACCGGCCTCCTCAATAGGGCACATCTTCGCCTGTGCTCACATGGTAGATGAGGGAATGCAGGAAAATACATCTTGAAGGATTCCTATCACAGCTTCCTTAAAGCTTGTTTTCCAGGAATCTTCGTGTTCCCGTTGGAGCCGAAGGTCCCAGAGAGAGGCATTCAGAAACCTGGGAATAGGCTGGTGGGTGGGGGAGGAGAAAGGCTGCACCCCTGGAATGTCCCAGGTGTTTAGGAAATCCCAGGGGCTTCGCAGGGAGAATGCTCTCACCAAGGCTTCCTGAGACCGTAATTAAGCAGACGCTTAGTCCAAACAACTCTTGTTTTATTTCAATGCTGGGAACAATTATATTGTTCATTCCCAGCCGGTAATGAGTCCCCAACAGTCCCTTGAGATAAGCACCCACCTTTCTCTCCTTTGAATGGCTGCCAACAACTAAAGTGCCAAATTAACTGGGGGAAAAAACTAACCGAAGTACAAAGTCCACACAGAGCTTCAAGGTTTAATCCGAAGAGAACGAACAACTTTGCTTCCTGCAAAGGTGTCTCTACCCTTGAACTTCCTTTATACCTTATGGGAGGGGCAATCACCTCCCAGCCTTACTCCTGAGTCACCCCTTTTGTCTTAGCTGCTCTCGCCTTCTAGCAGCTCTGTGCATAAGTGCACTGGGAACAGGCTCCCCTTGCTCCTCTGCCTCGCTGCTGCCAGGCTCTGGAGGCAGCACTCCCAGATGGTCCTGGTCCCATCCCTGCATCGAAAGCAGGAGCCTCATCTGAGTCTTCCCCAGACTCCCAGACTGGTTCCTGTTCTTCTCCACTGTCCAATTCTGCTGCCAGCTGCACAGGCTGCTGAGGAATCACAACACAGAACCCCAGTTAACAGGAATTGTTCTGTGGTGATGCTCTTAAATATTAGTCTGATAAGGTGCAATGTGGGAGGACATGGCCTCCTTCAACCCCCTCCCCCCCAAAAAAGTATTTCTTCTTGGGAAGGAAACATTTGGAAAGACAGACAGAAGGAAGTGCAATGAAAAGAAGTCCCCATTAGCCCTTTGAGGGGCTCCAGATTTAAAGAGCATTTTCCCAGGATGCCAAAATAGCATGGCAGAATCCTAGATAAGTTGTATGTCTTACAGAAAACCTAGTTGAGCCCCTGGTCTTTTCCAGGGCAGGAATCCTCAGATCACCCCAGATGTTTGGCTATACACTCTTGTCTCTAGTGGATGGAGCCCCAGTGACTCCAGGAGGCTTATACATTGCTTGGCGGCCCTTGAGAGTCAGAAAATCTTCCTCATTTTGAATTGGCAAATTTCCGCCCTGTTGGTTCCTCTTCTGGCCTTGGGCATGACGGCAGCTAAAGCCACGCCTGCTTCCCTGGCATAGCCCTCCAGAGATGGGAGGGGTGCCCTCAAGCCTCCCCCCACCAGCCTTGTCTTCAGGAAGGAGCAGAGGGTCTCTCAGGGCAGCCCCACACATGGAGGCCCACTGAGACGCCCTTGCTGGCCTTCCGTTTGGGACTGACACCAGGGGTGGCCTTCAAAAAGTTTGGCAATGGCTTCTCTGCCCGATTGCTGGGTGGGTGTGGCCATGGTGGGTGTTGCCCAGTCTACCTCCTGCACCATGGTGGTGATGGGAGGGTGTTTTTGTCCTCCCCAGACTCCTGAGGCTTTTCTCAAGCCTCTGGGAGGGTGAAAACGCCCCCCCCCCCAGGCTCCAGAGGCTCTATGGAAGCCAGAAGGAGGCCCATTTCTGGCCTTCCAGTACTTCCTGTTTTTTGCCCTCCTTGAGCCTCAGCGCATGCTTTGCACATACCTGGGATCTAAAACGGGCCACAAGGGGACTCTGGGGAGGGGAGGGGCGGGGTGGGTGGGGCCAGCCTGGACTGGGAGTCGGAGGTTCTCCAAACTGCACAGAATCTTAGCTAGGGGCTCTCCTGAACCCCTGCGAACCCCCAGCATCCCCCACCCCGGCTGACACCATTTCTCTCTCTGCCCCAGCCTGCATGATGAACGTGCACAAGCGCTGCGTGATGAATGTGCCAAGCCTCTGTGGGACAGACCACACTGAGCGCCGAGGCCGGATACATATCAAGGCGGACATTGAGAACGAGGTCTTGACGGTTATCGGTAAGTCTGGCTTATGGGAAGAAGACCGGATCCCTTCCTGCTGCAAGGGATCTCATGCTCCTGGGTGATGGCTGCACAGGTCCATCCAGAGAGAAAAGGGTTGATAGATAACATGCTATGGCGATTGCTAATTTTTGTCCTGCTGTGAGTGGACTGTGGTGAATTGTCATAGACCATTTCAGACGCCCTGTGGGTGGTTAGTTGCACCTGCAACTGCGTCCCAGAGAGAATTTGTGCTGAGGTTCTTTTAATGTCTTGCGGATATTTTCTCAGTAGAATTGTTAAAAACCTTACATGCTGTGTTTTTTCAAGGATTGTTCACTTCTTATCTCTGGTGCCTGCGGCTGGGCACCACTGTCCTGAATGCCCCCTTCCTTCAGTTGGCCCACAAAACCAGGGAGATGGGAGGGTTTTACCTTTTCATTGCTCCGTGTGTATGTGTGTGTGTGTGTGTGTGTGTGTGCACGTTTATTGTGTCCCTCAGACTGGTTGTGTCTAGAGCAGTGATTCTCAATCTTTTCTTCACCTTGGGCCCCCCTTTAAATACATTTTGTGGCCATGGACAATTAAATTAAAACAAATTAGAGAAATGAGATGGGTGACAATTTTCTTGTTCACCACAGCCCTTCCACTTTTCTCCACGTCTTTCTGTCCTGGAAGGACATCAGTTGGATCCAGTTGCATCTGTCCAGGTGTGGCCCTTCCTTACAGTCCTTTCTCTCTTCCCTCTTAGACTTGTGTTGCCATTCCATCCATCCCCCCATTTATTCTCTCCATATTATCAATGATCAGCCTCTTCCGCGAACTTCTTTCCTTTAAGGTGTGCAAATATGGCCCCTTTACCACCGGTGGACTTCAACTCCCAGAATTCCTGAACCAGCTTTGTTGACTTAGGAATGCTGGGAGTTGAAGTTCACGGTCATGAAGGGGCCATAGGTGCCCATTCTGAGTTAAGGCCACTCTTTTCAATCACTGTTTCAATTCACCTTCATTTACTGTCCACAGATTCTTGATCCTCTCCCATCTTCTCTTGCCAAGCAATCCATTTCCACTGCATATGACACATTTTCATATTTCTCCTGATATATCCAACCCTCCTTCCACTCTTTTTCTGTAAACATTGTAAACTTTCTTCATCTGTTTCTTCATCTTTAGTAAACATTCAATCATTGCAAGCAAATTCGTTACTTGCTCTACCAGGTGGGCCATTTACATTTAACTTGCAGCCATCCGCTGCCGTTTTCTCTGCCAACTTCCTTGGCCTTTGATCAATTCATTCTTTGACTCGTAATTATCATTGCCTCATAGAATCTATTTGACATTTGCCGCAAATCAGTTGGATTCTCAGCCTACAACTTGTCATCTTCAAAAGCCGAACTCAACCCACATACATTTACACCCCCAACAAACAGGCTTCTGACATCTGCACAAATATTTCTTAGGCATTTATCCACACACATGTCAAACAACTCCAGGAACAAAGCACATTCTTTTTTTTTTTAATAAAAATTTTATTTGGGTTTTCACAAAACAAAATACAAGTAACATTTCTTTTTTTGAGAATAGCATAGTCCCAGGTTATCACTTCTCCATACAGTCACAAATTCAATTTCATATTCATCTTTGTGTTCTATTCCATATCATTATTATTTTAACATTTTCTCAATAATTTTTCCCTTTCCTTAGTTTTCTCAATCTTACTTTTAATTATCTCATTCCTTCCTAAATTCAATTATATATATATCTTTTTCTAAGTTTCAATATATTTCTAGTCATTATATTCATACTTTTGTCTGTCCTGTTTCAATTTCATATTTTCTTTTCTCATTAAACAATTTTTTTCCCTGTAGTTACTAATTGGAGTATGACACCTTTGTATCTTTTAATTTTTATCCATTCAACTTTTATTTAAACTTCAGTTTATGCCTTTACAATTATAACATTCAATATAACACATAACTTCCAGTTGAATTCTGCTTGGTACATTCTTAAAATACACACTAAGTTCTTAAAGAGAAAAAATATATATAACAATAATAAATAAATAAAATACCTGGGCACAAACAGACTCCCCTTGATACCTCCAGCTCAAACACACCCCAACCAGGCACCCAGATGAAACCTAGCTTCCTAATAAATGATAGCTATCCGTTGATATATACACATCTATACATTTAGATTTTATACCATATTATCTATCTGTCTGTCTGTCTATCTATCTATCTATCTATCTATCTATCTATCTATCTATCTATCTATCTATCTATCATCTATCTCTATCTATCTATCTATCCATCCATCTATTTATCTATCATCTCTATCTCTATCATCTCTATCTATCACATCTCTATCTATCTATCATCTCTATCTATCTATCATCTCTATCTATCATTTCTATCATCTCTATCTATCTATCTATCTCTATCATATCTATCTATCTATATCTCTATCATATCTATCTATCATCTCTATCTCTATCATCTCTATCTATCTATCTATCATCTATCTATCTATCATCCCTCTCTCTCTCTCTCTCTCTCTCTCTCTCTCTCTCTCTCTCTC